AAATTGAGAAAGAGTGATATTCAGGATGATTAGAATATAATTATTTTCTTCTGTTCATCACGCTACATGTTGATGGTAAGCAAGAAATATAAGCGACGGCTCCATTAGAATTTTTATATTGGACAGTCCAGAAATGGTTTGACCGGGGTAGCGTAGGCGTTACATACCTATTATCCTTTTGTGTTGTTATGATATGGTTCGTGAACTGAGATGGACTAAAAGATTAATTATTTGGACATAAAATAGCTCAAAAAGACTGAACCTACTTAAGTCCAAATGTTGTTTTTTAATTTCTGTGTGACATTAGACCGCGTCTCATATATAGTTTTGATAGACCAAACTCATATGTTAAACTGAACAGATGTTAGATTCTCCTAATAAATCTCATGCGGATCCCAAACCTATTTAGCCCCACTCAAGCCCATCGACCCTGACTCAGGGTATTTAGGCCTCGTACTTAATTTGATGAAACCTTATAAATTATTTATTACTTATATTTTTTCTTATTTTGTTGGAGAGTAAAGTAATCTTTTAACATGAACAAGTAAACTCACTTATAAATACCCAAAAAAATATAACTAGGGAAATCCCGGCTTTCCTACTTATAAGGAACAAATAAGTAAATACGTACTTATTTACCAAACATAGATTTGAATCGTTATAAGTGAGAAAAAAAACTTATAATTCGTTAAACTAGGTAATTGGCCAAACATGCTCTTAGATACTGTGACGACATCATGTGCACCCAAGGCGAATCCTAAGCAGCGTTTAATCAAGTTACACAAACCAATATGTAACGTTGCATGCTTTCCACCTTAATTAAATCATAACGGAGTGAGAGATGGACTATGATAAATTGTACATGGACTCAAATTGATTAAAAGGAGTTAACCATATATATTATCTGAGTCATGAATCCAAATATATTTAACTGCATAATCAAACTTTTCCCCCAATGTGATCGAGCCTAAATCTCATGCATGCATGCGCTGCCTTTATTAGACCAGATTCACTCGTTTAACTGAATATGTACGCATCAGACACTTCTAGTACACTTCATTAAAAAAGTTAGAATATATCTTCAATATCCATTTGAAAGATTCAATATTCACCAAGTCACTGAGATTAATTGATCGCTATATTTTATTATTATTATTATCAGCTCGTTTATCTTATACTTGTATATGGATGTTACAAATACCTTGTCGCCGAACATTTATACTGCTTACATGATACTTTAATGTTCCCTCAGCGTCCAACTAAAAGCGACGCTAGCCGAACTCTAGTTTCATTCACACCTGTATTTGACAGGAGAAAATAAATTCGTGACGTGATAAGCATTATATTGGAAGCAACTATATATATTTGCATGCCTAACTTGATCAGCTGGATATGCCATTATATATTTGGCTAGTAAAATCTTTAGATGAGAACTTTATGCAAGGTATATGATAAAGTAGGAAGTTGATTAAGGTTTAGTTGCTTCAAAACAATTATTAATTATGTTCTCTTAATTATTCTTGGTTGGTCGATCATCACTTGAGAAAGAATGGTACTTGTACTATATCCAATGCAATAACGCATTGACCAGTACCTATGCATTAAGAAATCATTGAAGATTCCATCCCAAAAAAAAAAAAAGGAAAAGAAAGAAACCATTGAAGAAGTATATATTTGTTTAAGTCTTAATTCGATTTGGATATATCTATTGCATATGACATGGGATCTGGTAAGATCCCTTACTCTTGAGATCTCAATTTGAATCAATTAATCTTTCATAATCAAATATGTCTTTGCAACAGATTATGACGGCCATTGAATCAATTATCCAACATACTCAAATTTTTAACGAGGTTGTCTCCTAATTAATCTTTCATTCTCTCCAGCTAACAGCTTTGATAGAACTCTGCAACAAATGATCGTAAATATATCAATTACTTTGGTACGGAGTATTCTCATTCATCAACAACAGTTAAAGAGCAGCTCCTCATAAAACCAGACAACAATTTAATAGGATATTATCAAATTGTTGGCATTTATTTAAGGCAATTTTTATAAATTTCTATAAAATCATGCGCTCAATGTCAAGGTCAGCCTCACAAGTTCTTGAAAAAGCCTTTGCATTCAATGTCCTATAAAATTAGTAGATATTCGTTTGTCATGATCCTCAAGAACCGCTCGCATGATTTTCTCAACCTTAATGACCTAATCAGTTACGTAACTATGTTATCTGTGATTATTGATAGTCAAAGTATCCGGATCCGTGGCGCAATGGTAGCGCGTCTGACTCCAGATCAGAAGGTTGCGTGTTCGATTCACGTCGGGTTCAATATCTGAAAGTATTTCTAAGTTTTTAATTTTTTTTAAAACTTTGTTCGGCTTGTGTTGGACCAGTTTGTGGTTTATTCTGGCCTCGGACTTACTGTATACATTAAAAAAGGCTGCATCCAACGGAGAGATTTTGGGCTCAAAGCCCTATAATATCACAGCAAATTTGAACATTAAATGAGTAGGCCGCCTACCTGGGGTTTGTTTGGTTGGCGGAGTACATCTGATCCACGTATAAAGGATTTTGAAAAATCTGGACTTAAAATTTTGTTTGATTGAAATTGATATTGAAGAGTGTATTTGCACGAAGAATAAAATTCAATGAAATTTTTTTGGGTGTAAGTGAATTTTGTTAAGGATATGTATAAAACCACTAAAATCAGGAGAAATCAACTTATGTTTAGAAAATTATATTTAATGCACCAATTTTACATGTTAATCTAAAAATTGTGGCATGCAAAATATCAAATAAATAATATATTCAATGAAAATATGAGATTTTAAACTTGTAGTGTTTTTTATAATGCAAAATCCCACCAAATATACGGAAATAAACAACCCCAAAGAATTTTTTTGGGCCTTGCATATTATTATTGATAACACAGTTGATCTTTGATTACTCCTACCAACTTTATCCTCCAAAACTAGGACAAATAGAGTGACCACAATATTAAGCAAATTAAGAGCAAGCCAAAACAAGATTACCCTTACGTTTGCTACGACTTGACCAGACAAGGTTAAACTTTCCATTTGCATCAGTAACAAAATCGTTTACATTTTCGGGTTATTTAGATATCAAACCCTCATATCTTAAATAATTCCATCGTGGCGCAATGGTAGCGCGTCTGACTCCAGATCAGAAGGTTGCGTGTTCGATTCACGTCGGGTTCAATATCTGAAAGTATTTCTAAGTTTTTAATTTTTTTTAAAACTTTGTTCGGCTTGTGTTGGACCAGTTTGTGGTTTATTCTGGCCTCGGACTTACTGTATACATTAAAAAAGGCTGCATCCAACGGAGAGATTTTGGGCTCAAAGCCCTATAATATCACAGCAAATTTGAACATTAAATGAGTAGGCCGCCTACCTGGGGTTTGTTTGGTTGGCGGAGTACATCTGATCCACGTATAAAGGATTTTGAAAAATCTGGACTTAAAATTTTGTTTGATTGAAATTGATATTGAAGAGTGTATTTGCACGAAGAATAAAATTCAATGAAATTTTTTTGGGTGTAAGTGAATTTTGTTAAGGATATGTATAAAACCACTAAAATCAGGAGAAATCAACTTATGTTTAGAAAATTATATTTAATGCACCAATTTTACATGTTAATCTAAAAATTGTGGCATGCAAAATATCAAATAAATAATATATTCAATGAAAATATGAGATTTTAAACTTGTAGTGTTTTTTATAATGCAAAATCCCACCAAATATACGGAAATAAACAACCCCAAAGAATTTTTTTGGGCCTTGCATATTATTATTGATAACACAGTTGATCTTTGATTACTCCTACCAACTTTATCCTCCAAAACTAGGACAAATAGAGTGACCACAATATTAAGCAAATTAAGAGCAAGCCAAAACAAGATTACCCTTACGTTTGCTACGACTTGACCAGACAAGGTTAAACTTTCCATTTGCATCAGTAACAAAATCGTTTACATTTTCGGGTTATTTAGATATCAAACCCTCATATCTTAAATAATTCCATATCAGTCCCTCAAGTCTATGAAATTTGATTTAGGCCCTCAAAACCTAGAGTTATTGCATTTTGGTCGCTCAATGACCAAAATACCCTCAATTGATGTTTTCTTTAAGGGTTATTTTCAATATGGGCCTAAAATTTAAACCTTTTTAAACTTTGGTACCTCATACCTTACATCTTTTTAACTTTCATATTTCAAACCATTTTTAACACTTTGATACCTCAAACTTTACACATTTTAAAAATTTTATATCCTAGAGATTCCACATTTTCTTTAATCTTTGATACCTCAAAGCTTGCACAATTTTTAACTTCAATACCCTAAAGTTTAGGGTGTTAAGAGTGTCAAAAACAAAACTTTAGGATATTAAAGTTAAGATGTATAAACTTTTTGTCGTAACTAAAGTGTCAGAAGAAAACTTTAAGATGTAAACTTTAAGATATCAGAGTGTCAAAAAACTTCGGCATGTTAAAGTTCAAAAGCTGTATACTTTAGAATACCAAACTGCAAATAATTGTTTTTAAACAAGATGGGTTTTATTTTGAGGGACTAATATCTAAATAACCCTTTTTCAGTAACAAAATCCTTTTGCAATAGGAGATCATGCCACGAGCACACGTAGCCAGTCCAACAGAGGTTGATGAAGGCTACATGATTTGAGCCTTCGGACTCTCAGAAGAGGAAGAAAAAAGATCATAGTATTTGACTCTGTACAGTGCATCAAAGTTTTGTAACTCCACATTTTAAATATAAAAATAAGCTGAGATAGATTTTACTTAGAACCGAAAGTACAACCTTAAGCAAAATTCCAGTTGAAGTAAAAACATTTGTCAAATTTCCCAAGTTTTACAGAGCAAGATGCAAGACCTTATTTTAGTAAAGCATAATACAAAAATAGAGGCGGATTTAAGTGGTGCCCGGGTTAGGCAACTGCACCCCTGGAGATCTTACTTTTGTAGATCATGTTAAGAGCTTTCTGAAAATATATTATAATAGTGATTCCGATAACAGAATCAAAAGTTGTGAGCCGTGCAAGTTTCAGCATATGTGCATGTTTCTAAGTCTGTTGCTAATTGTTTTGATGGTCTTGTAAAAACATTCATATCACTGGTTATACATCTCCGAATTGAGTTGTATTTATTTCTATAAATAGATACTTATAGTCCCCCCCCCTCCCCTGCCCAAGAAAATTTTTCTGAATCTACCACTGTATGATCTCTATCAGTGAGTTTTCAGAGATTATTCCCTGCCTCCGCTTCATATTCTGTTGTACAGTGAGAGCATATCCCTTAACTTCTCTGCTTCAGGCTTCAGGTCGTCAAAGCTTATGGAACTCGGTATCCTCCAACTCCAATTTCCTAGCTGCAGCAACAAAACATATCAAAGGTTAGAAGATTAAAACCCTTGAAATTAAGGACTGTTGAGATTATGTCTTTGATTCTTTATATAACTTCATGAGAATTGGATATGGTTAGATGTCTATCATGATTAGGAGTTTATATTCTATTCTAATTAGAAAGTTTGGCTAGGTTAGGATTTTGATTTTCATATATATATATATTCCTCTATCGTTGAAAGAAAAATCAAAAAAAGAAAAAATAGCTATTCTTGTAATCTTGGTTAGCAGAGGGCATAAAACAGATTCACGAATAGTGTGTGAGAAGCAAGGGTTTCATAGTCTTTCTTCTCGCAAAAGATTACAACATTAGTGAGAGATTCGTAGTCTTTAATAGTGCAAAAGATTATAATATTGAGAGAGGATTTCGCAGTTTTTGTCTGTTTAAAGATTGTAAGGAGAGGGCTTTGGAAAGAATAGGAGAGTTAATTGTGTATGTGAAGTTAAGAGATTGAGAGATGAGAGTTAAGTGATTCCTCTTGTAGTTTTCCTTGACATATAGTGGATTTCTCGTATTATTATCCCGTAGATATAAGTCAAAGTTGATTGACCGAATCACGTAAATCTCAGTGTTGTTTCTACTTAATTGTGGTTGTTTTTATCTTGTGGATTGTTGATTGGCTTCTAAGTTGCACAGATCATAGGAGTGGAGATTAAAAATCCCCAACAAGAACTAGAACACGGACCACGGACTTGTTGTATGAAAATTTTTGGAGTCAGCTACATGAACTAATCTAATTCCTCCATTCAATTTAGTTAGGGGTTATTTCTTCTGTTAAGTAAACTATTATCACATTCTTCAGGGCATAAAATTGGATATCCAGAAATGGTGGATTGACCTGGGTCGCAGGAGTATTCATTCTAGCAGAACTTCCCAAGCTTAAGATATCTTGCATCGGTACAATAGCAGTTCTGGCAACTGAAGAGATGGCAACCTGAATCAAGGCCCATGAGATTTCCGACTCTTCCACAGTACAAAGGTACTTTTTCACCTGTATGTAGATATTTATTTGTAGTCAGCATTAGTAGCACAATATCAGAATATGTTCATGTCCCTAGCAAGTATCATGCACGTTGATGGTAAATGCATATTTTTGTTTAAAAATCATTCATGAAAATATTTTCAGTCAGAATAACATCTAAAACTTTATAAATTACATTTGGTATACATTTTTTCATGTGAAGGCTACAAGGACAAGGTCACAAAATTTTAGTAGTATGAACTCATTCAAGATACATGCATGTTCCTGCAGATGCAAATATATCAATATTCGAGTTATTTGATATAGCCTAAAGATATTAGCCGTTGATATCTTCCTTGAATAAAGTTGACTCATATCCTATTGCTCTCAGTCACACGCAGGACTCCACCCATTAGATCTTCGCATTTAACACTAACTGAATATCTCATTTCTTTCACTTCTGAAAAGAATCAATCAGAAGTAGAATTTAAACATATCAAGCAACAATCCATGTAACTAATTTAATGTTTACTAATAAAAATGGAAACTGCAAACACTAACAAAATTGGAAACTGCAAACTCCAATTTGTGGTTACTAATCCAGTACAATAGAGGACAGGAAGCAAGTCAAAAATACTTACAGTACACTTCTCTTCATGCTTCAAGTTTTCCCACCAGCCTACAGCCTACAACAGGACAATTAGTGCCATTAAGAAATAAATTACCATATTATACAGTATCCATTGTAATTTGCAAAGAGAATACTGCATGGAATTGGATTCGCGGAAACAGATAAAAAGAGCTCTGGATCAAGCATAAAGCTACACAGCTATAAAGCCTAGCATAAACTTTTGGAGCTGGCTCATTGACCAAACACAAGCAGGCTATTTCTTCTTTTATTAAAAATTTCTTCGTACCAACACCTAAAATAGTCTCAAATTCCCCATTTACTTCTAACATCATTTATAACATCCCGTTTAAAATTGGTTTAAGTAGACACAAAGTCCCACCTATCATAAATCACTTGGTTTACAGGTTAAAAAGAAACTAAAAATATTCCATATCTCAGACCTCGATTCAATCAATTGATAATATCAATAACCAATACCAATCTTTCATTGATGATAAACTACAAAACACAGGAGTTGTATATTTATAACCTCAACATCAAGTCAAATTTCCAATAAAGGAAAAAGGCATTAAGTCAAATTTCTAATAAACGAAAAAGGCATCAAGATTAAACCTAACAAACTTAAAAGCCTAAGTAAAAGATAAAGTAAAACAATGCGTCATAATTCTATTCTATTTTAACAAATAACAAACTGGGATAGAGATAGATCCAAAATTTTAACAGAATTCGATTATGGATGACTAGGGGTTCTTCAGGTATCCGTGGATCTTTTATTCAATTTAGTTTTGCATCAATTCTCCTCCTCTCGAAAAGAGACACCTGATCTTGTGTTTTGCATAATAAACAGTAAGTCTCAACACATCGAGATTGGCTTTATTACACAATTCATGTAAAGGAGGAAGACTCCAATGAATATTCAGTTGCAAGAAGATTAAAATTTGATAGTTACCAGACAGTAATGTTTAATGAATCACAAACCCATTTCATACTCCATTAATGACATAGTATCATCAAATTGTGCAATGTAGTGAATCTCGATATGTTCTCAACTTTTGATGATTGGAAAAATAGATTCACTTTTTTCTAGCATCTGGCTCTTCAATTAGTAAGAGAAATTAAAGGAAACTCGAGAGTATTGTCAATTCCATTCATCAAACTGTTGAGTTCATATTTCACTTCTTTGAGCTATTTTAAGAATGATGCATGGAGATTCTAACATCGCTAACCAGCAATAATAACTCTATGAGGTCTTCAAAAGGAATCACCATAAGGAAGAGAGATAAACTTCCAGATGCGGATGGATTAAGGATGTCACACTTAGAATTTTTGGGTGGTTACTACTGCATATTATAGTACTATATTTTTCATTTTTGTACGGAGACTGAAGAGAGCAACAAGGAAGATATGGTGGCAAAGTTGATAAGATTGGAGTAGGTAACTCCATAATCTGATTGATCGAACAAAAGATAACACAAAAAGGTTCGATCCTAGATAATCTTATAAACTTCAACCTTTAATTTGAATATTCTTTCAGTTTCCAGTGCATCATCAACTGGACTTGGCTCGGCATCAGTTGGCATTACATTCACCAATATATGAGTGCATTATTTACTAAATGTAATATCCCAAATTCTCAATTGTGATTAACTAGGTTTACAAATTATTTTCTTATTGCATATTTGAATAACAGAACTGATGAATACTAGATTGCAATTATCCAATTGCAATAGGAGATTTAAGTAAATAGTAATATTAATTATAATACATGTATAATTATAGTTCAGTTGAGGTTTAAATAGTTATATTAATTATAGTACATGTATAATTATAGTTTAGTTGAGGTCGTCAGAGAGAACTGTCAAATGATCAAATGGACAAGTCAAGTATGTTCAAGTTTTGAGGACAAAACTTTTGTTAAGGGAGATAATATGTAATGACCCCTATTTCAGGCTAAAAGAAGTATATATTATGTATTTATTTAAACTAAATGTGGAATTGTAAATATTATATTACAATAAGGTTTTTATGGCTATAATAATAGTAACTATAGTAATATATAGGCTAAACGATCAACTTGGTCCTTGTACTAGGGTCTCATACTCAAATTGGGCCCTCTACTTAATTTTTTCTCAACTTAATCTTTGTACCCCTTCTTAGATGTAAACTTAGTCCTATTTAAACTCTCGGTTAAAAACCCCATTAAATTAAAATTGAAAAGACAAAACTACCCTACACATTTCGTTTCTGAAAAAAGATCACTTTCCACTTAAATGCCTCCCTCCAAAACACAAAATAATGTATCTCAAGATTTCAACAAAGTACATAATTATGCATCTCTATGATTATGACCCAGCACTTGGTAACTCCCTTTGCCATTGTACTGACCATTGAATCTCCCTCTTTTCCTAATTTGCAATTTCAAAGGTCAGGGAGCATCCTTTATTCAATTTAATTAAACCAAAACAAAAAATTAATGCATTCTTAGTAGGGGTGCCAAACGGTTCGGATATATCCGAACCGATCCGCATCCGTATCCGAACGGATACGGATATGGTAAGCTAATTTTGAAACCGAGCGGATACGGTAACGGATACGGATATGGTTTCGGATTTTTTTTCGGATACGGATTCAGAAACGGATATGAGGGTTGCGGATACGGATATCCGCGAATGTAAAAATAATTCGGGTCCCAAAGTTTCATTTCCAAACCCGTAACCGCTAACCCAAACCCGTAAGTATATAGGTTGTAAGTTCAAAACCCTAGCCTCCAGCGGTCCAGCCCATTCCATCTTCCTCCACTCCATTCGTAACCGCTAACCCTAGCGCCTCCATCGCCTCACCAGAAGATCTTCGTCGTCTTCGAACCTCAAGGGCCTAAGTGAAGATCTTCGTCAGATCTTCGTCGTCTTTGTCAGATATTCGTCGTCTTTGAAACCTCAAGGGCCTAAGTGAAGATCTTCGTCAGATCTTCGTCGATCTTCGTCGTCTTCGTATTTGAGAGTAATATATACCCGTCAATTTGAAGAGCTCCTCGAGATTCCTATCTCCTCGTGAGTCATTCCTTTTATTGTGTCACTCCTTTCACTTGTCATGCTCTTTGATGGAGTATTGCTCTGTAGAATGGGTTTTAAAATTTGAGAAGGCTAGTTATTATGTTTTTTATTTGTTTTTTTTTGTTTGCTTAATTGTGCGGGTAAGAAAAAATTTCCACGGCGTACTATTGTTTATACCGATTATTAGAAAAATGTCTCATCTATTTATTTGCATATTGTCTTTGATGTTTCTTGAATCAAAGACGTCGTCTTCGTCTTTTAACTCTCTGCCTCCCTTCACTGAAATCTTCAAGTTTATTGAATATTTATAACTTTGTTTACGTTGTTATTGTATAGTGAAATAGATGGGAATTCATTAGGGGGAAGGGTTCCAGACGTCGTCTTCGTCGATCCACACACTGTCGTATGGACCATAGGACATAATCTGAAGTCTATTTTTGCAAGGTGACAATTGTTCATTTTTTTTCACCTGTTTGCTATTCTGTTAAGAGTCAGATATAGTTACTGTTTTATGTATGAATATAGCTACATGAATAAACAAGGTAAGGTTAAAGATTGCAAAAAACTTTCCAAAGTTCAAACACAAGTAGCCTGGAAGTTTAGAGTTGGGATTAAACTAACAACATATAAATTAGCCTGGAAGTTATTGTGTAGGTAAGCTCATTACAGACATGATTTCTGCAGTGTGTTTTGTGATTCAAATTATGTTTCTGCAGTAAGTTTTATTTCAATGTTTAACATCATACGTTACAGACAACTGAAAGAAGATAATGCAGCAGAAGGGATGATACACATACTTAATAGATTTGTGCTCAATTTTAGTATTTCTAATTATATGTGAATTAAAGAGAAGCCTACAACGGTACAACCACATACATTTACCTATTTGGTTGTAATTCTAACTATACGTGAATATCCGTTTATAACCGTGATCATATCCGATCCGATTCTCAAATATCCGATCCGTATCCGTTTCCGATAAGTGCGGATATGGTTAATGTTTTTTCTTACCGAGAATGATCCGTATCCGTATCCGTATCCGTTTACAAGAAGCGGATATGGATATGGTAAGTGTCATATCCGAACCGTATCCGCTCCGATAACACCCCTAATTCTTAGTCATTAATGTTGTTGAGATAATTTTTTTAGTTGGGTCTGATGATAAATATGTTGTTTGCAGCTGTAAGTGTTTCTGGTTATACACTATGCTACATGTTGTCAATTACTTCTTGATGCAGTTTCTTCTGAATTGCATCGACCTGTTTACTGAAATTCACTCAGATTTTTTGCTTGGGTTTGTTATCTTTATGGATCTTATTTAATTATATTGCTCAGAGTTTGTGCATTGTCATCTTGTCCCTTTTAATTTTCAATGTCAAGGAATGAAAGATTATCAAGTGTCATTGAACCTACAGAGTTTGAGCATCTTTGAATTTGGACCCTGATTTGAGATTTCCAATGAGTTTGAAACTGGAGAAAGGATTCACGAAGGTTTTATTCATGTTGTGTACGGATATGCTCACCATAAAGATATGATTATCGACCACCAAATTTTGTTTGATACTAGTTTACGCCCCTCAAACCAAAACCCCTGTAGAACTCAAAAGCAGCTCATGAGCTACTAATAACTGGTATTGCTTGTGACCAACCTTTTCAACTATTCTTATAACCAAAATTCCTCTACCATGCAGATGTTATCTCTACAGAGTACTGGGTATGGATGTCACTTCACATACGAACACAATATAGTTTTCCTAAGAACAAATTATAGCTTTCTAAAGCACGTGGACCTCTACTATCGACATGCCACTGGGGTAATATGATCATAAATGAAAAGTTTAACATCCTATTTTTAACGGATGTTAAAAAAATGACTCAGTTTGCATTTAATGTGTGGTACAAGAACTAAATTGAGAGATAAGAAAATAGAGGGACCCATTTGAGTATGGAGCCCAGTGCAGGGACTAAATTGGTCTTTGAGCATTTCTTGAGGGTTCTAATGTAAATCAGATCTTAAATACCGAAACCTTACCCCAGTAACCCCACAACGCCGCATCTATATTTTTTATTCTCTTCTCTAGAGCAAGCGACTCTAGGAGAAAAGAAAGAGAGAACAAAAGACCGAAGATCTTCAGGAGAAGCAATTGGATTTTTTGAATTAGAAGCATTTAGCAAGGTAGATATTTCTAATCTTACCTTAATTAGAATGTTTCATTTGATTTCTTTGTCTGTGGTTTGACCATGGCTTCAACCTAGGTTTTCAATGTGGAATTAATCCAACTTAGTTTCTATGAGTTTTTTTGATGCCTCTGTCCAAAGACAAGGCATTAGTCTCGAAACCACCGATTCGTAGGTAACTTGAGGCTGAAGCAGCCCTTTTCTTTTTGTTCTTTTTATATAAAGGTGATTTATAGATAGTCTAGTGTAGGACCTCCTTAATTCCTATTAGATCATATAATACAGATTACTTTTGAGTTGTATTTGAAAGGGATAAGAAGTATTAGAATGTTTGATAATGGCTAGAGCCCACGGATCATGTATATAGTTAAAAACCAGTCAAGTGGGTTGATGTACTAAGTTTTTCTGGAGATAATATAAATCGATGACCGAATCAATATGTGCTAATATAAGAGGTATTAGAATGTTTGATAATGGCTAGAGCCCACGGATCATGTATATAGTTAAAAACCAGTCAAGTGGGTTGATGTACTAAGTTTTTCTGGAGATAATATAAATCGATGACCGAATCAATATGTGCTAATATAAGAGGTATTAGAATGTTTGATAATGGCTAGAGCCCACGGATCATGTATATAGTTAAAAACCAGTCAAGTGGGTTGATGTACTAAGTTTTTCTGGAGATAATATAAATCGATGACCGAATCAATATGTGCTAATATAAGAGGTATTAGAATGTTTGATAATGGCTAGAGCCCACGGATCATGTATATAGTTAAAAACCAGTCAAGTGGGTTGATGTACTAAGTTTTTCTGGAGATAATATAAATCGATGACCGAATCAATATGTGCTAATATAAGAGGTATTAGAATGTTTGATAATGGCTAGAGCCCACGGATCATGTATATAGTTAAAAACCAGTCAAGTGGGTTGATGTACTAAGTTTTTCTGGAGATAATATAAATCGATGACCGAATCAATATGTGCTAATATAAGAGGTATTAGAATGTTTGATAATGGCTAGAGCCCACGGATCATGTATATAGTTAAAAACCAGTCAAGTGGGTTGAGTACAATGTTTGTATTGATGGTTGTGCATATTTATTCTTTAGGTATTCCTAGAAGTTCCAAGGAAGTGTCTTGAGTTGATCTTGGACCATTTTTAGATTTAGATAAGTAGTGAATTTATGCTTTTCGCATTGTGTATTTTTTATCTCTAAAAGTTAGCTTATATATATGAGAATTATTCCACGATGGATTATATCCTTTTGTATGATTTACATGTATATCAATTGTTGATTGGATAGAGTTTGTGATTCACACAAATATTTTGGTATAAGCCATACTTATGTTCTTTGTCAACAGACCTGTCTCTTTCATATATTAGTAGGTTGGGATGCATATGTGGTTGATTTTCACTACTTATTGGTCTTTGGCATATTTCTTTATGAAATATTTTGCTTATATCAACTTTTTTCATTTTTCTTAAAACATGTGTTTCAAGTCAATATATCGGTATATGTCAGATATAAGTCATTTAAACTGGGCTCAATGCGGCTTTATGAGGTTATTTTAACGCTAAGCTCATGTTTTGGGTCTCTATATCCTACTACCACAAGATTAATAAAAGTAGGGATATCGTGTCAGCCGGGATATTAAGCATTGACCTCAATGAGATGTGGCCTATTTATTTTCAATATCATGATTTTTTTAAAGTTTTCAAATATTTGCATCAAATATAAGAGTTCATTGATGATTTTCTATTGTTCTAATATTTTGCTTATCAAGTCAAAATATTTTAGCTTTTGCAGAACTAGTGTTTAATGTATAAATTTATCCACTTATTGAGTTGTGAACTCATTGTATTTTATTAAACTCTTTTAGAGTCTCAAGATTAGGTGGAATTGATGGTTTCTAAATCACTTAAAGAGTAAGGAATAAATTGTAGACTGCTATTTTTTTTGAAGGTTAAATAAAGACTTCGATGTTTAGCTAATACTTGAAAGCTTTTGTAATAATGAGATTTCCCCTTTAGGATAAGTTTTATTTCTATACATATATCTCATCTTAGTGGGAGTAATATTGACTTTTGGATTATGGTGATTAATTGTTGTTGGTTTTAATTTATATGACAAATGGTTATTTGGTGGATATTTGATAAATTTGAGCAGGTTTAGTCCGCCTCCATGTTCTCTCGAGGTCTGGAAAATGGGGTCGTGATATTAAGCCTTTTGGAAAAGAAATGGTGACTAAATGTAATGGGGTTTTGTCTCGACTTAAACAATTCGAAGGCAAAATATGGAATTATGAAGCTCTCAGAGGTGAAGAAGGAATTCAGAAAGATTTTAGTTGTCGACTATGAAAACTCCATTAATTTAATATTATTGCCAACAAAAAATAATTTTTTTCTAAACGGGAAAGGTCAGGTCCACAGAAAAGGGAACTCACTGTATCATTATCATGTGTTCCAGTATATACAACTTGATCTTGCTCATGATTATGAGGCAAATGAGGATTGTCTGAGTCACTTCCAAAAGCTGGTCATTGAAAGATATTATGAATTAGCAACTAAGTTAAACAGTTCGCTGAGGAATATAACTAAGCAATAGCTAAAAGTACCAAATTGCAGAACAGCCATTCCAGGAGCACCGATAGCTTTCCTTAATTGAACAACATCTTCAGTTATAACTCCCTATTGAGCATAAGTTATAATTAGAATAATAATAGAACAATAATAGAACAATAGTAAACATTTTATTCAGCAAATCGTAAAATTGACCTTTAAACTTTTTCATATAATATTTAGCATTCACTGGACCATACCAAGTCTTCAGCAATTATGGTAATTCTTCCAACAGCTTTGGAAATGGCATCAAAGAAGGCTTTCCCTGGTCCAGCCTACTGCCAATGAAATATTAAAAAAAACTTATTTATCAGTAAAGTCTTCAACAGAGAACAATAATGCTTATATATGTGAATCTCACCTTCCATTTTCCAAACATTGCAACCTTTGCTTCTGCAGATTTTGAAATATAGTAACAATCAAACAATCAATGCTCAAATTCCTTGAAGATGAACAGAACAGACTCCCAGAAATTGTAGGCATTTGTTTTACTAAACTAACCCGAAGGAACAGCCCAATACCCGGCAAATCCACGAAAATGGTCTATACGGAACTCATCATACAGGTCAAGTGCTCGGTTTATTCTCTGTATCCACCATGCATATCCATTTTCCTCCATGGCTCTCCAATCATATAGAGGGCTGTAACAGCAAGAAATTAAACTCGAGATTACAATATTGACTTTAAGATGAAGATGAAAATTGCAAGGCGCAAAACTTTTTCAATGAGAATTTAATTCTGTGCTTCAGGAATGAGTGTAATCTTTGTACATAACATGAAAAGAAGGACCTGGTTAACTATGCATTATCTGTTGGTCTCGGGTGTGGAGACCCAAACCTGAAATCAAACAAACGAAGAAAACAGGAAAAACGTGGGTCGGTCGACCAACGGACCTGGTCCGGTCGACCGCAACGCCTGCAAGAAAACAAGCAGAAATCAAAGCTCTGGTCGGTCGACCGAGGGCCTTGATCCGGTCGACCGAAAACATGCACCAAAACCCTGCAGAAATTGACATTTTGGCCGGTCGACCGAAACACATGGCTCGATCAACCGGGAACGGGATTTCCAGATTCCTAAACTGTTTGGGAAACTGTTTTAGATTGGGATCCTATATTATATACTTAAATGATTTTAGGGTTATGAGAACATGTGAAAAAGAATGTTTTGAGAGGATTCTTTCAGAGATCTCAGAGAGATAAAAACCTATTTGTGGACATTGTAATCTTCTTCAATTAATCAAAAGAATTACATGGTGTGACTCCAAAGGACGTAGGCACGTTGCTGAATCTCGCTAAATCTAGTGTGTTTTTTCTTGTTTATCCTTCTTGTAATTTTTCTTTTATTTGCGATGATTTTCCAACTTGCTTGTGACGCCCCAGGGTTCACACAAGGCTACAGTCCATAGTAAGTCGGATTGTCAAACCTGCCAAGCACCAAACACCATGCTACGATATATTTCACAATCACAGTCACTATCTCTTTAGTGAAAACAACAAATAGGTGAATGTACAAAACATACAAATAATCAAAATAGTATAATCTATCTATATCATTTTCCCCGTATCTAATGGAGTTAATATTTAGACACCTACAAGACGAGATGTAGTACCTCGAGCGAAATAATCCAAACAAGGAAACTCTCATATATATACCATATGTCTCAAATCGTAGATCCCTAAATACCAATTCTAACTCTATGAATAAAAATAACACTCAAAAGAAATACTCCAAGCCTAAACCATATAGCACCAATGTCACAATCGCGAACTACTTCTCAAGTAGTTGGCGCAATAATAAGATAATATCATCCAACTAAAAAATCACCATAGGTCATATCATGTATGCCACAAATCAAGGAATGTACCCTACTCATGGGTAATCTAACATGGGAGTAACTACAGCTGATGATATATATATGTATGCATCCCCTTATGCAATAGCAATACTCTTGTAATATTCTTACTCAATCGCTCTGCGACAATAGGTTTTGTCTTCCTATTCCGGATACATAAAATAACGATACTATTATAATACTCTTACTCAATCGTTCTGCGGTCAATAGGTTTTATTGTCCTATTCCGGATACATGAAATGATGATACTTTTATAATACTCTTACTCAATCATCCTGCGAAAATAGGGTTTATCTTCCTATTCCGGATACATAAAATGACGATACTTTTGTAATACTCTTACTTAATCGTCCTGTGAAAATAAGTTTTACCTTCCTATTCCGGATACATGAAATGACGATACTTTTGTAATATTATTACTCAATCGTCCTGTGAAAATAGCTTCTATCTCCCAATTTCGGATACATGAATAACTATACTTCTTTATATGTGCTTACCAATTCAATTTGCGATAAAAGTATGTTAACACAACATAAACTAAGCATACATGCACATATCTCGGTGTGCGTGTCCATAACTGATGTTCAATAACATCTCAGATGCTAAATAACTCTTAATCATTGTAATATAACAGTACAAGATCGAGAAACTCTCTCGAAAATAACAAACAAGAGCGAAAATCAAGAAACTTTCACGTTATATATCAATTATTTCAAATAAGCACATTTACAGTTTTCTGCAGAACATATCATTATTCAATTGAGCATATCTTTCTCTAGACAAACTCTTTTTAAGAATAGTTTTTCGTTTTGAAAACTAGATTCATATAGCTACCATTTGACACTGGTTTGGTTCGGTTTGGAGCTCATATGATATCTCTAATTTCTAATTAAACGTTATATATGTGCAGCAGTTTTTTTGCAGAATGTATCATCAGTAAATTGAGCATATCTTTCTCTAGGAAAACTATCTTTAGGAAATGTTTTCTGTTTTGAAATCTAGATTCACATATCTTTCAATTGGCATTAGTTTGGTTCAATTTGAATTTTATTTGTTATTTTAAATTTCTAGTTAAACAGTATATATGTGCAGCAGTTTTTCTGCAGAACATAACAAGCATGATTATTTGCACAAAAAATCATATTTAAACCTTCAATCATGTTTAAAACAGACTGAAACATATATAAAACATATAACAACACTTAAACTTTAATAATCACTTACTAAAATTATCAACCTAATTAACAAAATTCTTCAATCTAAAGCATGAACTTTTAACATATTAAACATAAGCATGATTGCCAAACAACTTAGAAAAGATATATATTCATTAAATCATATTTTTAACACTTAGGTATCACAAACCTAGGGTTTTCTCATCTTTAATCCACATGTAAACTCAATTAAATATCAAATTAGGGTTTAAACATGATTAGAACATGATTAACAAGTTAAAAATAAAATTTTGAAGAACCTTAATGATCATGATCATGTTTCTATTATAAACAGCAAGAAAAATATGTAGATCTAACATTTTTTAAGATCTAACAACAAAAATCTATTCTTTTTCATATTAGATTAAGATCTAAGCATGTAAACACAATTTAAACTTCTAAACTAGCTATTTAACTATGGGGATGGGTTTGGATGTAAGTGATCTTGCATTAATATTATGTGCAAGCTTCTAAAACAAAGCAAGCAATCCCCGAGCATAAATAACTCGTTCTCCCTCGTCACACGTCGATGATCTCGCCCTCGTGTCAGTGTTTTACTTCACAAAGCTCTCCAAACTCATAAGAAAAGATATAGGATTTTTGAGGGGAGAGGGTGGCTGCTAGGGTTCATAGATATGATAAAAGAAAAGAATTTTCGTGAAAAACACATGTATTTATAGAGGCAAACCCAAAACAAACCTGTTTGACCCGAACCAGGAAACCTAGTCTGACTAGAAAAATAACCTTCGGTATTTTGGCTGTAATTTTCTCATCCAACCTCAGAATGAGGTTATCTAAGATTTGTTGGAAAGCTGTTAAAAAGATCTACAACTTTGGTCTTTTATACTTTACCAGATTCTGACTGCATCGGTATGCAAAACATAGAAACTCATAACTGGTCATTATTCCCAGATTTTCACTCTTTTGGCCTTTGTGCATGTTTTGTGCATTAGATTTTCACTCTTTTGGCCTTTGTGCATGTTTTGTGCATTTGCACTCATATTTTTACAAATATACATTGAATTTGTTTTGTGCATTTGCACTCATATTTTTACAAATATACATTGAATTGATCTCAAATCAATTATTATCATACTCAAACATCAAAATATGTTATTTTTTACTATATAACATATTTACCATTATTTATCATAAAATATTCAAATTTACGGGATTTTACATTGCTAAACTCTTAATACAAGATCCGGAAGGGCACGGCTATGATGCACGGATACAGATATGAGACACGGATACGATACGGACACGGATACGAGATACAGTAAAATCCAAAAAAATAGGATACAAGGATAGAACAAGGATTTTTTTAAAATGATTATTATATATAGAAAAATTTATAAAATTTAATTAACAATCTAAAATATGAATCTATCATAAAATAACAAGTTTGTAAACAAAAAGGAATTAGAGTACTTACTCATTCTATCATAAAATAACAAGTTTGTAAACAAAAAAGAATTGGAGTATATACTCATTCTATCATAAACAAAGAGGAATTCGAGTACATACTCATTCTATCACAAAATAACAAGTTTGTAAACAAAAAGTACATCAAGATGAGTCGAATACATCTCCACAAATATCCCACAGGTTCGATTCTCCTTTTTGATATTCTTGGGATGACCGAGAAAGTAAACGAAGATTGTTATGCACATACACAAGATCTTCTACCCTTGTCGGTGTCATCTTGTTCCTCTTCAAAGAATGAATGAATATGTACTCCAATTCTTTTCGCAGCAAGAGGATGAGCAAGGTTGGCCCAGAATCTTTAAGGCCAATGCTTGCAGATTTGGAGCTGAGAATCCATAGAGCACCCACCATAGTTTTGGATCCATTAATCCTCTATCAGCAAGAGCATATGGATCACTAAAAGTGTCAAGAGCGTCCGAGAACCTAGCATATTCCAAGTTAACTACCTTCCGTTCATCGGCATTAGGATAATATCTCCTCAGAATCAGAGACCTTTCTGAAGAGATCTCCTTATCTTGATAGGGTGCTTGCCGATGGATATTCTCATTGAGCTATGCCTCGTGATAATATCTATAAAAGTTTAACATTGAATTAGACACTATTAATAAAAATAATCACATCAAAAATAATGAATTGATAACATAATCTAAATTACTTGGATTCAAAGAGTGCGCCAAGCACTAAAGTGGCGTGTTGCTCTTATTCCATCTATCCACCAAGATCTTGTGTACGACATCATAAAATAAGGAGGGATCATTTTCTCTTTTGCCCTCATGTCTATAAATAACAACATTTACCTTCTCAATCATTATATCCCACATATCATATACCAAATGAAGGCTGAGTTTGTCGGTATCGATGAGCTAGATCATATCATATATAGGAGCAGTGAAAGCAATAATATAATCCACCCTATCCCACCACAAATCATCAAGCACTTTCTCCTTAACAAATTGTGCTTTTCCCACATCATCATCTCTGTACAAGCTCCACCGGTCGCTAAGAACCATATCTTGAAGGCTTCTCTTGATCACCGTGAACCTCTTTAGCATGATGATCTATGAAGCAAATCGCGTATCAGCAATTG